GAACGGCTGGTCCCGATGGGACTTTCCCAGCCCCAGGGGCTGGAGCAGGACTTGGCCATAAACTGGAGCTGGCAGAGGCCCAAAATATGGGGATGCCAGGGTGTAGTGTGTTTTCAAGGACTGCAGGGCCCCAGCAGGGAAGGAGGAAGTTCTCTAGGGTCTTTTTGGACCAGTGGGTTGAGAATAGCCCTCAGTTCACTCCAGCTGCATGCTGAGAAACCACCAGTGGGGCTGTGAGGAGAAGGGCTAAAGCCAGGGAAGGATGGAGCAGGATCCATCCACCCAGGGCAGAGAGGACAGAGCGCCTGTGTTTGCTTACGACAGAGCTGGGGTGTTAAAAGTTGTCCCCTTCCCACCACACATTCGACAGCTGGACAGTAGCCGTAGCTTTAATTATCCTTCGTTTTGTTCCTTTGCTTGCCTGCCCATGTGGGAGCACATATTACCTGGCTTATGAAAAGTAATGTATTATATCTTAAACAATATGTTCTATTCTGGCTCCACAGCCACTCCACAGCCCTGCAAGCCTGGAATCCAGGGCTGCCAGTTATTCTGGTGGGATGGAACAACCAGCAGCAGCCCCCAATGCAGTTGGAAATTCCTCTGGGCAAGGCTGCATTTGTGGTAGGCAGGCAGGGGTTTGTGCTGCTCAGGGTGTCTTTTTATAGGATGCTGCCTGAAATGCTAAATGCACTTGGATGTCCTGAATGCACACACAAGCCACTGAACATCTTCTATCCCCAGTGAAGTGAGGCGTGGGAAGTCAGGATGCGGGGAAAGCAAGGTGGAAGGGATGGAGATGTGGCTGGAAGGGGCATTGAAAAGGCAGAGGAGAGAGCAGGGGCAGCACAGAGATGGTTATTCTCTGGCCACGTTCTTCATTCTCCGCTGTAGGTTTTATTATACAGCTCTTGCTTTGAGTGGGCAGTCCCTGGTCTGAAAGGAACTCCCCAGGGTGGGTCAGAGCAGGGAATGCAAAACATCTGCAACCAGCAGTGGTTTTATTAAAAATATGAAGGCTTTCAAACATGCCAACTCTCCGAACATGTCGCTCGCAGGACCCACAATACCGACAGCCCCAGACTGACCGCTTGGAAAGTGAGACAGACCCCTTCCCCTCCTCTCCCACCCTCTTCTCACCCCAGCAAAGAAAGGGGCTTGATTTAAAGCTGAGGGACCGGGCAGCCACCCACAGAGTCCCAGCCCCATGTCACCACCAGCTCAGACACCCTGAGTGCTGATGTTCTCATAGCTGGGGGGAGGTGTTGCTTGTGGCTCCCCGGGGTGTTGGGTCTCCAGCCAGGATGGGCTGGGGCGGAACAAGGCGCTGTCGGAGGAGCTGCGCCGGCGGCT